TAAATAACTACAATTTCATCGTGTAAATCAGAGCCTGCAGCGCTTTCTCCATCAGGTTTCTCACTAAGTAAGTTAGTGAGTTCAAGATCATCTTCAGATATTTGTGCAGGCACGAGATCTATAAAATCTGCAGCTGAACGATGCACTTTAGCTTCAACAATTAAAATGCCTGAAATATGCAATGAGTCCAATGTATATTAATGTAAAAAAACATGTATAACTAAATTAATAAATTAATGCAATAATAAATAAATAATTTTATTTTTAATTTTTAAATTAATTGTTTCACCCAGTAAAATTTTTTAAAATTTAAAAGATCTGCAAATGTTTTAATTTTGTGCAAAATTTTGTTTTAACAAATTTGTTCATATAGAAGATGTTCTTCTTCTGTTAGTTTTTTGGCCTCCACCCTTAAGGTATTTAGCCAGAGCAGGTAATTTAGCTTATATTACGGGAATATTCATCAAAGAACGTCTGGAATTTTCCATCTTCCCATTGAAAAATCCATGTTCACTCTTTTCCATTGATTATACTAATTTAAAACATCCAGGAACTGATATTCTAACTAATTGGACCATAACTCCTATCATATTAATTTAATTTACTAGCTATATTCAATATATTTCAATTACATACAAATTCAAAAAATTTTGACGCACAAATACTAAACACATATTCACTTCTCGATGACCGATTTTATTAAAGATTTTATCGGAAACATACAAACTTGACTTCCAATTCTGAGACCGCCATTTCGATGTTGATACCACGGTGTCAGAATCGGAAGTCCTATAGAAGATGTTTATTTTCCTATTAGTCCCATCTCTTTGTGTATTGTACGAGGAGTGAAATAAAAAAAAATAATAAATTTCTTTAACAATTCTGGACAATGCATTAAGTGGTGTTGCAACAAAATAAAAAGGGTAGCGTCGATTAAAATTTACTGATAGTATATTTTAAAATTTTTGTAGTTGTCGATATGTATTTTAAATAAATAAAAATACCTTTAATAAAAATTCCAATTTTATTTTCTTCGACAGGCAGTAAAACTTAAACCGCTTGATTGCATTTAGGCGGTACCCCGCGCATTTAATATAATTGCAACATCATTATATTCCCTTTGTGCGTTAGTTTAGTGTAATTAAGTTATCAGACCCTAAGGTATACTAACGAGTAGAACTTTAGTTTTTAAGATTGCAACCCTAGCTAAGTTAGGTTATAACAAAATTACACATTGATCAACTCTTAATCAGATTGTAATATTAATGGAGTGTTTTTCACAAAAAAAATATTTTCCCTAATAAATCAAATGGCAGAAACTTCACATAAAATGTGTCTCACTGAGTTGGAACCATATAGAAAACTTTTTTATTATTGGATTTGTGAAAAAATTTATTCATTATAAAAAGTTCTAAATGGTCCAAAACTTAAAATACAACTATCAGATATCAATTTTTTAAAGCCGTATACGAAGTTTGTCAAAAAATATGAATCATACTGAAGAGTAATGTACCTTTATTTTTGACAAACCTTGCATACGACTGATAAAATTTGATATCCAATAGTTGTATTTTAGATTTTAGACCATGCTCGACTTTTTATGAAGAATAACTTTTTTCCTAATATTAATAATAAAAAAATTAATTCGTACAATTGTGTATTATATTTCTATTTCTGAATCGTTTGTATTTACCATGAATCCTGGATTTGTAAAAGCAGATTTAGCTAATTTAAAAACGTCCACAAACGTCAAATAGGATTTCACAGTTATAACAAAAATACAAACTACTGAAGAATTTGGGCATTACGAGAAAAAAACACAAATTATTTAAAAATATTTGGCACCGTTATAACAATGTGTAGTTATTCTATAGGGTGAATTTAGGCAGGAAATTTCATCAAAACTGGTTTTTCAATCCCAATATTTTTTTAAATGCTTAATAAAAAGGATAAATCAATGTTTTCTTGTTAAAATAAACACCATTACTAATTGTTTCGACGTAAATAAGATTGAAAATTCCGATGCGTTGTTATAGACCATTGCTGTATTTAAAAAATGACCTAACCATTACAAAAACCTCAAAATATAATAGAAATAGATATTGTTTATTTCAATGCCTATCTTTCTTAAACTAAAATAATATAATATCAATATTTTACCGAAAAAAAAAAAACTGTATATGTTGGAAGTACGTTCACCTAAGTTTAATATAAAAAATGCGTTCCGACCTTGATCCAAATATTTTTTAACACCAATAATACGCTATTAACATATTCACTTCGATTGAAGGAACACAGATCAAATTATGTTAAAATCATTGATGGGTAACCGTAAGGAAATAAATCTATTTCTATCGTACATTTTAATAAAAATAGATTCTACAAACATATTGATTAATGACATCTCAGTTAATTTATTATAGAAATAGAAATGTGTAAATAAAAATTAATCTTAATTTGTAGCTATATTTTTTATTCCAAAAAGCATAAACAAAGTAATAATAATAGAATTCAAGAGTAGGCAAATAAAAATTAGGTTATTTACCGGAAAAGTTAAAATTAAAATTATCATAATTGGTAACAAATATAGCAAGCTTGTAAAAAATCAAAGAGTATAACTAAAGATCTATAAATTATAAAATTTTAACCTCGAAAACAATGGTCTTTTTAGTTATTTATCTGTAGCTGGTATTATGTCAGTTATGAAACGTACAATTGAAAACAAACCTTACAGCAGTATTGATGATACTATTGGAAAGTAAAAAACAGCAGTCTATTCTCTAACACCATTTTTTCATATAATTAATAGGTTCCTGGAAAAACTACACTTCTACCAATACAGCCGTTATCTTTGCAATGTAAATCGACCCAATAATAGCGAAGATATTAACTAATGACCTTATAACATTGCTACTGTGCATGATTTTTCTCTTCAACGTTAATCTATACGCCACGTCTCCTTTATCGTTTATTTCATGCAAATTGGACCAGTAACAGCGGGAATATTAACTAATGTTCTTATGGCATAGATTTAAAAATTCAGATAACTTACTAAATGATCAATTAGATATTAATAACTCACCCTTATTAAATCTCTTTCCTAGTTTTCTGTGACATAATCCCGGTAATGTGCTATCTTATTGTTATCTGATTGATATTATAATTACCTAAGTACCCTTATTTACTTTAAATAGTTATTTTGTAATGTTATTGATATTTTTCTTAAGTACTTTGTTTTGTTAAATATTTCTAGCCCAATCGGATTAGTATTTTAGATTCTGAAAAATTCGAAGCAGCAATTTTCCTTCGGAATTCATTGGAGGGGGTCTCTGGTAGTCTAAATTCAAAAAGTTGGGATTCCAAAGTTGTCGTTACCTCCGCCATCTTGATTTAAAGGGTTATTTTTTGTATCTTGAATAACTCATTTATTTTCAATTTTACAAAAGTTATTTAAAATTAAATTTCCTACAATTCTGCTTTTTTTTGTACGATCGATTTTTTTCGATTTATACCCGAAAAGAGGGGGTGAATTTTTGGTTATAGAATAACTCGTTTATTTTCAATTTTACGAGAAAAATTGTTATAAACAAAGTTGTTTAAAATTAAATTTCCTACAATTCTGTTTTTTTTGTACGATCGATTTTTTTGTATTTATCCCTGAGAAGAGTGGGGGCGAACCTAAGTATTGTATTTTCACGTTTATTATTGATGTTGTACCATTATTTTTTCTGTTTGTTTTTTTTTGCTGATTTTCAAAAATGATAATACAATGATAAGAGTTTACCCCCACTCTTCTCAGGGATAAATACAAAAAAATCGAGCGTACAAAAAAAAACAGAATTGTAGGAAATTTAATTTTAAATAACTTTTGTAAAAACTATTTTCCGTGTAAAATTGAAAATAAATGAGTTATTCAAGATACAAAAAATAACCCTTTAAATCAAGCTGGCGGAGGTAACGACAACTTTGGAATCCCAACTTTTTGAATTAAGACTACCACAGACCCCCTCCAACGAATTCCGAAGGAAAATTGCTGCTTCGAATTTTTCAGAATCTCAAGCCTGTTCTTCACCTAATCCGATTGGGCTATTCGTATATATATTGGATACCGAATTTAAAATAGTCACATTTGAAAAAGAAGTTGTATTTCGAAACATATATCATGTTAGTGTTTTATATTTTATTTATATTTATATTTTTAAAATAAAAGTGTGAAAATCTACCAAATTTGGTTTTACTCTTTCAAGATCAAATGGATTTTCATCAAGTAAAGGCTGAAACAATAAATAATTTTTTACTTTCCTTGATCTCTGGAAAATTATAGATCGGTGTTTGTTTTGCGTGCTTCTTCTAAAGCATTTGAGCAAATACTTTAAGGTAATGTTGGGTAACTGGGACCTACTATTTCAACTTTTAAAATTTCAAGCTTGACCAAAAATTCAGTGACTAAGATAAGATAAATTTTGTATGTTTATTTATATGGCTTCCATTAGTGATGAATAAACTTGTTCCTACCTCTATACTTTCGAAATGTATTTTTTTAAATTATACCGAATGTCCCAGTTACCCCGAAACTTAGGGCAAGTGTGACACCTAGCTTAAATTTCTCTTTATAAAATAAGAAACATTGTTAAAGATAACTGGGCCATACTTTATGATCCTTCAAATTTTGCGTCCAAATTTCGTTTACCTAATCTTGTTATTGTGAGAGTAAGATCGTTTTGTAGATTATAATGGCTGTAATGTTTAATGTTTTATTAAAGTTGTTTGTAGGTAAATACAAAAATTAAGGCAAAAAACATCATTTATTACTTAACTAACTTATTTCATAACTTCATGCCCATATTTATTCATCAATGGTACATCAAATATGCCCGTGTGGTTTACCATTTTTTGTGGTGGTATAATTTTTACTACTTCTGCATTATCGTACTATATCGAATTTTTTACCTTAGGCCATCTCCAAGAATTATCAAGTTTTTAATTCACGAAAAATTTACTCGATTTTCATCTCTTTTTTTATTAAGTTCTGGAAAATACACTACAATTACATAATCATCTTCTATTGCTACAGTTCCAGCAGCTTCAAATTCAGATTCGGATGAATTAGTCATCAAATTCACTTGCATCACTACTAGATGAATTTTGCCGTTTTTTCTTATAATTTTTCTTACTTGGGACTTTTTTAATATGTAAATCATTCGTAGTGCTTGAGCCACTATCATAATTTTCATATGCTGTAATGTGCTTTTTCTGGACTTTGTTTTGCTTCTCTTGTTTATTTTTTTCTTTTTTCTGTTTTAACGCGTTTTCTGCTTTGACTTTCTGTAGGTAGTCGTCTTTAGTAATAATTTCGGCTGCTGTACAGGTTCTTCTTCTTTTGATTGGGGAATTTACGTAATGCAACAAAATTTGCAGTCCTTTTTTGTTAGAAAGGGGGTACCTCAGAGGTGGTCCCATATAAATTTGGTCCAAATCTAATAATTGGGTCCATGAGAAAATCCTTAAACTCTTCATTTTTTATATATGTTCAGCGATAATTCTTTATCACGGTGTCCGATTTCAATGTTTCTTTTTTTGTTTGAAAGGGGGTACCTCAGGGGTGGTCCCATATAAATTTGGTCAAAATCTATTAATTGAGTCCATGAGAAAATTCTCAAACTCTTAATTTTTTATGTATGTTTATCGATAATTCTTTACTACCTTGTCAGATTTCTGTTGTTTTTTTTTTTTTTTTTTGTTAGTAAAGGGTTACCTCAAGGGTGGTCCTATATAAATTTGGTGATGGCATCTGCACGATTTTGAAGTCGGGTATATATATTTTTATATCAAAATATTTTATAAAAGCCCTCCTACAAAAAATTAAAGGAACCATCACGCAAACTTTGGAAAATAAATGTGAATATTTATTTTTTTTTCTTCCTTAAAACCAATTTATAAAAGAAAATAAAATTATTTTGTGTATAGTACCCAATTTCTTATGCATATCCAATCCCTTTCAGTTATTTTTGAGTACATATATAAAAATGTACACCTACTACAGAAATGAATCTCAATTTTTCTACCAAAAAATTACATGTTATCAATCCTATATTTACGCCAAAAACTTTCACGACAAATAAAAATAATCTGATGACTCCTTAGTAGAAAAAATTGAGTAAAGGTGACAAATAATTGTTAAGTAGGTTTACTGAGTCACAACAAAAGCACAAATTGCGTTGCTTCACAGTTATAGCACAGAATGTTATAGAATTCAGGACAGTGTTGCCAAAGCTTAATGTCATCGCATACTACGATGACATCTTAGCGGACACTTGAAAATAATGTACTGAAAATTAAAATACTATAGAATTTTGCACCGTTAGACAAATTATAAAAGTAAGTGGATACACTTATTAAAAATTCTAAGAGAACTAAAGAAAGATAACATTTTAAGAGAGTTCACTTAATTAGATGAATACAAAACTTAAAAAAAAACGCCATTAGTTTATATATAAGTGTTGTCGACGTTTCATCCTGTACAAGGTCATCCTCAGGGCGATAAAATTATTTTGGTTTAATATTTTTTTGATAAATTTTCAAATTCGTCATGTATTTAATCTTTAATAATAAAGCGATTTTAGGGAAAGATTTTGAGAACACAAACTGATTTCCAAAAAGAAGAAGTAATACGAATAAAAAGAGCAAGAAATAAAGAGAATGTAAATCGGTATCTGTAACGTGTGGAGGGTGGGTTAACCAACAGTACTTAGGCCTGATAAGGTCCACTGTGCATCCTCCTAAGAAGGCAGGCGCCTCCTTGCTTGTGTGCCAGCCTACAGATTTAATGTAGTTGACAACGTCGTTAAGACATGCTTCTCTTATATAGGCCGGTGTTAGCCAATTCTTCTAATAAATGAGAGCGTCGGGCAATCGTAGAGGATAAGCTCGATAGTCTTGTGTTCTTGTTCGCCCCCTATGCAGAGTGTGGATTCTGGCAGCCCCATGATATGGAGATGCTTCCGTACTTAGCAGTGGATACGAAAGAACTAAGTCCTTTAAATTTTAATTTAATCAAAAAAATTCAGGCACAAATATGTCATCGTTTATTTAAAGATAATCAAACAACAAAATACAAATAAAAACAAAACCTTATAACTAAAGAAAAATAATTAACGTTAGGACAAAAACTACAGGGATAAAAGTCGTAATTGTTACGATAGAACTGCATCAATTGCTCAAAATTACCACCATTTTGATGCACTTGTTTCTACAATTCTCTGAAGCAGTTCTTCTCTAGTATATATTTTGGAAAAATACAATATCAATAATGACCTTCTGTTATTCTCATCGCCTCTCATCATTATGAATGTGTAAGACGGTACCATTAAATCATTGTTTTTCCATCAATTACCAGGATTCTAATCATAGTTCTGAAGTTAATTGACTACGTCCAAAGTTTAAGTGAAAGTGTATTTCATAAAGAGAAACCGGATAAAAACTGTGTTAACCTAAAAAGTGCAACCTGTGTCCAGTGTGATAAAAAGATCTTACTAACGTAAATAGTGATTTTGCAACTGTAAGTAAATTATCTTATCATTTAGAAAAAAGAACACAGGAGCAAGAAGAATTGATTTCGTTATTAAAACAATGCAATAATTATCATAATAAGAATGCATCTAATTCATTAGTGGTGGCTCCATCTCTTAGCAAAAATTTAAATCCAGCTACCTCTCATATTAATAATAATTCCACTAGCAGTCGAGATCACCAAAAACCTGCTATGAATCCTTTTAACACCTTCAACCAAGCGATAAGAGCAAATCCAAATCATGATAATGAGAGACTAAAACTAGTCACAATATCAACAATACAAAAAATGGGAACTCCAGTCCGAATCTCCCATTTTATAAAAACGTGCCATATAAAAATAAACCGATCATAGGTTGCAATGAAGCGGCAAATTTTAATACCATACCACGACAAGGACACGTACATGTCTCTCGCATAGGAGCCGACATGACTTGCGAAGATATTCTTAACTTACTAAAACAGACAGCGCCTGTGTAGAGTGGAGAAGAAATGAACATTCTTCCACCTACAGGGTAACATTCCCGTTGGACAAAATTGATGATGTTTATAATCCAACTATATGGCCCAAGGAAGCTGCTGTAAGAAGATTTAACTTTAGAAAAAATGTTCAGCCTCTTCAAAAAAACGGAAGAAGAGAATTAAATATGAAATACGATTCCAATATTTTAAAAGATTTTAGTATTTAAAAAAATGTAAATCAGCAGAGTACGGTGAGTATGTTTTATATAAACTTACAATCCATCTCTAATAAGGTAGAAATGATTAACAGTTTTCGTGTGGATCACAATTTTGACGTTGTCTGCTTTTCTGAACATTGGCAGAGTGAAACATGTCTTAAATACATTAATATTGACGGTTACAATTTGGCAAACTCTTTTTGTAGAACAAATATGATACATGGGGGTGTAGCAATTTACATAAAAAATAATAAAGATTTTTGAAATATTTTCCAATTGACTTAAGCGAATATATTAGTGAACAAAATGCAGAATTCTCTGCTGTAGATCTGCCATCTTTAAAAACTACAATTTTAACTGTCTATAGGTCTGGCAAAAGAACTACTGATATTTTTCTTGTGAATTTTGAACTTGTATTACCCAAATTACTAGAAAAGTATGACAAATTAATAATATAAGGCGATTTTAATATTAATTTTAAATCACAATCTGAAATTCTTTTCAATTTTGAATGTTTTTTGAAGTCTTTTGGTTTATCTCTTACAATACATGATGATACTAGAGTTACAGCTTCATCTTCAAATTGTATAGACAACATAATTACAAATTTGGCAAACTAATTGTTTACTTCCGTTGTATTTGAACCCTCCTTTTCAGACCACCGTGCCCAATACATTTCTGTGAGTTACAATAATAGTCTAACAAAAAATAAAAACCAAACATGTCTTAAAAGGTGTATTACAGATAATAGAATAAAGATGTTTAAACTGTCTCTAAGTAGTATAGATTGGAGTATTTTTATAATAAAGGTAATGATGTAATTTTTTTGTCAACTTTTCTTATCAATTCTTACCATAACTTAAGTATGAAATATTTTCCCTTGAGACAATGTTAGAATAATTTAAGAAATTCACCAGTAATATGGTTTAATAACAGTCTTAAATCTCTAAGAAACGATCTCTCAACCATCAAACTAATAACAGACGTTACAAAAGATCCAAATGACATAAAAACATACAAGAAACTCAAAAGCGAGTACAATGAAAAATTGAAATCAACAAAAAAACTAGCCTATGATGAATATATTACTCGAGCAGACAATAAAGCCAAGGCATGTTGGCAAATAATCAATTTCGAAAGAAACAATTTAAAAAGAAATCTACTAACTCCTGATTTAACACCAAATAAAATCAATACATTTTTTAATACAACTGCTGCAAATATCATAAGATCTCTTCCTAATGTTTCGAATGCCGAACTTCTGAGTTTTAAACATTTTTCTATGCCCTGTAGCTCATTTTTCTTCCGCCCTGTTCTTGAGTCTGAAGTTTTTGATGCAATTACTTCTCTAAAAAATTCTAAATGTGTTGACACTCACGAACTCAATAGTAAAATTTTAAAAGAGAATTGCAATATTATAATAAAACCGTTTACTGAACTGATTAATTTAATTTTATCCACTGGTATATTTCCTGAAGTACTTAAATACTCTAAAGAATTACCAATTTTCACAAAAGGTGATGTCTCGAAAATTGATAACTATCGTCCCATAAGTATTGTTTCAATATTTGGTAAAGTTATTGAAAAAATTATTAAAAAACAATTATGTGAGTTTTTTGAATTAAACAACTTCTTCAGCAACTCCCAATATGGTTTTAGACGCTCTCGCTCTTGTACACAGGCTGTTCTTAATGTTGTGAATGATGTAGTTGAGGAACTTGAGCAGGGAAATCACACAGCAGTAATGTTGTGCGATATGTCAAAGGCTTTCGACTGCGTCTCTCATGATATTCTTCTGGAAAAGCTACGCTTTTATGGAGTTAGGGGAATTCCGCTTGAACTAATAAATTCATATATCAGTAACAGACAACAAGCTGTGATGAGTAATGGTGTTCTGTCTGACTTTCAGGCTGTAAGGCAAGGGGTTCCACAAGGTTTTGTCCTGGGCCCCCTTTTATTCATTGTTTATGTTAACGATCTAAGCCGTTTTATGCTACCTAATAAATCAGTTTTATTTGCTGATGATACAACACTCATCTTAACAGACGAAAATAATAAAAATTTAATTTCTTCGTTTGATGAAATTGCGGACAAAGCAAACACATGGTTCTCAACCAACAAATTAAAACTTAACAGTAAAAAAACTCAAAATATGCAGATATCTGCCAATAATCAAATTATCTCAAAATGTGAAACAAAAAACGTAAAATTACTTGGATAACAAACTCAATTGGTCGGCCCACATTAATTAGTTAAAGAAAAAACTTTCTAGTTTTTTGTTTATTCTTCGGCAGTTGAAAAAACTTACCAACTTAAATACCCTCAAAACTACGTATTTCTCTCTCTTTCACTCGCATGTCAGCTATGGTATACCACTTTGGGGAAACTCTTCTCAATCTATTCAAATCTTCCGGATGCAAAAAAAAGCTATCAGAATTATGGCTAACATTGGATTCAGAGAACATTGTCAACAACATTTTATTAAATTTAAAATTATGCCACTACCTACTTTATATCTACATCATAAACTTGTTGAAATTCATAGGAAACAGTCTGTTTTGCTGAAACAGTCCGATATTCATAATTACAAGACACGTAATTCACATTGTATTAGAAATACTCGTTTTAGGTTATGTCTATCTGAAATAAATTCCCTAAATTATAACTTATTTAACATATTACCGCAGAACTTTAAAAATTTAAGTAATGCTTTAAAAAAACCATTAAAAAAATATCTATTGAGACATTGTTTTTATTCTGTCAATGATTATGTAGCTCATTTTCAGTCTGTATGAAACATCTCACTGTCACTCTGCCTCATCACAATTTTAACCTTGATAAGTACCTAATAGTTATTGTTTTTATTTACATTGTTCAAATTCTGGTACTCTAATAATTATTGTTTTATTTGTTTTATTTATATTGTTCAAATTCTGTTACCACCTATGACTTGCTATAAATATAATGACTTATGTAAAATAGTTAATAAAATTATTCTATTCTATTCTGGGATATTATAATGTTTTTTATTGTGTTTTTCTAGCGTTTACGGGCGCTCATCAGACTTCAAAATGTAAGGATGATATTTTTCTGTTTTTTAGTTCGGTATCATGCACTCAAATGTATGCTATTAACTAAAAAAACAAAATGGTGTATTTTTTATTTTGAATAACAGTTGTCATATGTCATTGATTGAATATTTTTATTTATTTGATTGTTAGTGACTATTATATCTGTAAAATTATTAGTATTATTGTTTTTTGCAAAGTTTTTAATTTTACATTCATTTTAAATTTTTGTTTTATACACGAATTTTGATTTTTTGCAGACGATTTAAATCTCTTTGAAGAAGAGCTGGTCCAAATACTGTATCGCAATATGATAACATTGACATAATGAGTGATTCACACATTTTTAATTTAAGTTTAGGTGAAAGTTGTCTTAACACGTTGTATGAGCTTTGAAACAGTTGAGAAATATGTTTTGTGGACCTAAGTTCAGAATCAATCCATAGCCTCAAGTTTTTATGATCATAAACAAGTGGAATGGGGTCATGACCTATGCTAAGTTTAAAATTATTAGTTAGATTTCAAGCTTATTGGGTCCAAATAGCATAAAGACAGATTTTTTTGAGTTTAATTTAACATTATGTGCTGACCATATATCATATAATTTTTAAATTTAGATTTATGATGTATTGAGCTTGTAAATAATTTCGTTGGTTAAAGAACAAGTAGAGTTGCGAATCATCGGCGTAATGATGAATATGACAATTTTCTACAAATTGATGAAAAGCTGAAATGTAAAGTGAGAAAAGTAGCGGTCCTAAAATAGAATCTTGTGGGACACCATACTTAACCGGAAGGGATTTCGACACAGCTTAATCCAGAACAATTTTCTGGGTGCGATTTTCAAGATAACTTTTTGAAGATTTGATATTAAAATATTTTTGAAATTCTTTAATTTTCAATTAAAACCAAATCTCAATATGGGTTGGTCGGATAATCTAAAAATATTAAAAATTATGTACATTCAGAAACGAAATTTAAATATATTTCTCTTCTTTCTCCTCCTCTGTCTGTTCTGTCTCTTTTACTACTCAAATACCACCGAGTTATTGTTGATGTCCCTTCTTTCTGTCTCTGTGTTTGTGAGCTCCTTATATTCTCAGATATCTAATTCTCCACTCCGCATCTATTAAATCGAAATAATAATGTCCATTGTTACCTTCTTAATGTTTTGTTACTTTCTGAAAATCTTTTCTATCCCCCTGAAAATTCTATGCAATATATTTAAAAAAAAAACAATATTCGACATCCTGACTTATATTTTCAATTTTGTTTTTCCGGAACTTCACCACCTCAGCATAATGCAATTATGAAAAATTGTGATCACGTGGTCAAGAATTTCAATATCAATATACCTATATTGTTATTCATTTCACTTTTAAAGATGTACCATTATTTAAAACCAAATATAAAAAGTCAAAACGATTATATTTAATAACATTAAAAACAAAATCCGTCAGTTTTTTGCATTTATTCAACAAAGTACCAACTCTTAAAATACTCTAAAGGTACTACAAACTTTCAGTGGTTAAAATCTCCAGAATCAGTAAAAGTATTTAGATTTGACAACGCGCTTTACTAAGACGGATCGCATATCACATAGTCGAGCGTCTTAAAATAGCCCCTAAACCGTCGCCTACTGAATTTTCAGTGCCCCCACCTGATTTTTTCAGGGGCGCCGCGGCGGGAGACGTCGCACTAGCCATTCTTCGCTCGCAATTCGCAAACGACCGACGTCTTGGTAAAGATTTCGGGGATGATGACTTGAACTTCTGCTAACTGAAGCCGTGGAAGGCAAACGAATACTCAATAAAGAGACTAGTATATACATATTTTTCCTTTATAGACTCTATTTTAACGTGTTGTGATTTTTGTGTTTTTTGTGCTTCGAATTTTTTCTTTTTCGATTTTTGCGACCTGTGAATTTTTTGTGGTGACAAGATGAATCGACAACAGCAACAATCCCAGCAGAGTCAGCAGACTCAGCAATCTCAGCATACTCAAAGGGTGACTCGAACTGAGCAACATGTCACCCGACAAGTTACCGGACACGTTCAAGGTTAGGACCACTTTTTTTTACTTTGCTTTGAGCCTGTTGATTCTCTATCAAACGCTTTGGCTTTCAGTTCATTGTTCATCGTCAGCATTTCCGACATATCCAAAAAAAAAATAATTATAATATAGTTTTCATACAGTTGATAACTACTCAAATAATCACTTTATTGTTAATTGTTATACATCAGTATGCCTACATCAAAAACACGTCCATATGTAATTCTCAGAAGGTTTACTTGTTTATATTAGGTAAATTGTTCCTCCTAATCAACATTTGTTTATCACATATTAATAGTTTCAATAAATCATTGACTAAAACGGATATGCGCTAAATATTTATGAGTACGATAGGGTTAAATATGAATAAAAATAAATAAATCAAATTATTACTTAATTACGGGCTTCTACTACTAAAAAAAAATAGTTTTAGTACAGTCTCTCAATAATATAATAGTGTAATTGTAACTTTATGTCTATTTATATTAAAAACAAAAATTTTTAACTTAAAGAAAAATTTGCCCTGATTTTACAAAATTGGCTATATTTAGAATAGTTGATTTAAACTCATTTTATATGTCTCTAGATCCTGTAATGAAAATAGCTGCATTAGGTAAATTTTTTATTTTTATTAAAATGAATAACAATTTCGATCAAATAGACTAACGAAAAAATTCAATATTTCCCATAAAAGCAATCCTAATTATAAAAAAGGTGTCATAATCATACTTTTTATCAAGAATTTAGTCGGAATTCAAAAAATAGATCCGCCCAAACTAATTTGGCAACATCACATGATTGTATGCGCTGATTTCGTCTCACTATAGTTCGCCTAACCCGCCACTGACTGGCAAAGGTACAAAATTGCATGGCTTGTGTGCCTCGCTATTGGTCCGGCTATCTATAAATAACTGTATGCGAAAAGTATTTTTCCCGTTTAAAATTACCTCATTTCCACTAGATAACTCATTGACCGTAACACTCAATTTCGCGCATGCGCTACTAAATGCAATTATCTAATCATGATTAAAATATAAAAAATATATAATAATTTATCAGAAAGTTACTTATTTTTCTAGTTAAAATACAAAACATGTTAAAAACTACAAATATAGAGACTTAGACAAAAATAGAGGGGCGTGGTTTTTACTTATTTAATTTTATTCCTTTTTTGGATAAAATGATATATATGTGATTTCTTGTCCTAAAAAAAATAAGATGTATTTGATTTTGGAGAAATAAAAGGTCCGCACCCTGTATGACTGGATCATCAAGAAACAGTTTCATCTTCTTCATTTTTGACTATTTAAAATACATAATTTTTCTCTTCATTATTCATTGTTCATCATTTTTCTCTTTATTAAACAGTAAGGGGTCTATTCTGTAAAAATTCCTTTATATTTAACGGCCTTTAAACATATTTTCTTCTTTAATTCGGTCACTATTTAAACGAATCTTTAAAATACATTAAAGGACTATCTTAAAGAAATCTGTTTAAATAATGATAGAAGTAAATTAACGAATACGAACATATTTTTATAGGCCGCCAATATTTTTAAAGGCCGTTAAATATAAAGGAATTGTTACAGAATAGACCCCTAAGTCAACTATAAAAGAATACGGTTAATGGAAGAAAACTTTCGGCCACTGTTTGAAGATGCTCCAAAATAATTACTAAATAATATGGTTTTAATATATTACGTATGTTTTTATAATGCCCTTGACGATAGTAATACACTGATATAATATTAAAAATATTATGACCTAACTCTGTATCGCCATACAGTGGTCCAATTTAATATCTGTATGTCTCTCACTAAAAATATTAAATACAGTGGCGGCTTGTAACCGAAATGTTGGGGTTTTACAATGACAGTATACAGATCTCAGTACAGATTTAGGTTAAAAACTTTCAGTGTCTTAGAAGGGTTTATTATGAACACCGTTGTATTTAGATCAACTAGTAGAACAATATCAATGCAAATTATCTTGGAGGACAATGAAAAGTATCATCAATAGATGGCAGGAAGCTCCTTGGTGTTCTAGTCATGTCTTTGATAATTTTGTCGTCTTCTACCGAAATGAATTTAAAAATTAAGAAAACTTTATGTATATAGAATTCTATACTCAATGAATTGGAATTGGCATTAACGAAAACAAAGAACTCGTCTCCAGGTTTAGACAATATTCATTACACAATGCTGAGTAACCTCCCTAAGATTGCTAAACAACAACTATTAAATACCTTAAACAAAATATGGGCTAAGAAACTGGACATTCCAAAATCTTGGTCTGATTATATTATTTTACCCATACTCAAACCAAACAAAGTTCAAACTAATGCAGATTCATATAGACCAATAGCACTATCATCTTGTGTTTTAAAAACGTATGAAAAAATTATCAAACTTAGACTGGAACATTGGATGGAACACAATAATATGTTTCCAAACTCACAATTTGGCTTCAGGAGAAGCAAGTCTACTCAAGAAAGTATTGCAACCATAACAACTGACATACAAATTGGATTTTCCCAACAAATTTCTACCACTGCATTTTTAGTTCGATTAAGTATATTATTACCCAGAAGTTTGTTACATCCTTAGTAAAGTGGAATCACATATTGTGGATTTTGTTTCTTGTAAAAGAAGAGCCCCTAAATCTGTGATAAGTTCCACCTCTCCATGCTCCCCTAAAATCACATACCAATAGTGTTATTTTATTTTAGGCCTTTATTTATCATTTACTGTAATTATCTAATGAATAATTATGTATCTAATAACTTAGTGGGTCTTTTTTTGAACTGAAATATTACCTAAAACACATATGTTAGCGACATCCATAGGAATTTCAATTTATATAGCTATGATTCACTTGCAGCCCCTTGCTGAGGCTTTGGCGCCTCCAGGAGCCATCATCAGTTATTACAGCATCCTGAACGATCACCAGTTTGATTGCAGTAAGATTTATAACTTCTCAGCCAGAAGTATTTCTCCAGATTTGGAAATAGTGGCTCGTTTTGATTAATTCCTAAAATAAATATAAACTATAGCAGATAAACTTGAAAAATTAAACATGTAAACTCACCTGTGCACCTTCTAGTACTAAAATAGGGACCATAAGATAAATTGTATCCTATCATTAATACCATCAACACATTAACAGCTTTAATAACCATTTGTAGGGGATTATAAACCACAGGGTAAATTGTGCATAAGCTAAAAGAGATATTATATCAAATCACAGTTAGATATACTTTTATTAATCCCTTCACTCTCCGAATCAATAAATTTTAAGAGCCAGCTAGGGAAAAAGGAATTACTGCCACCACTTACAACCTTAAATAGGCCAGTAACGTGGCAACTTAGTTTTGTATATCTCTTTCATAAGGTATTTCAAGTATTTAGAGTCCTCATTTTATAATTTCATAAACCAAGTCCTTCTATCTAGCTTCTAACAAAGTTATCAGATATTTCCGGACATTTTTATAATTTTATAAACCAGTCATTCTATGATCCAAATATTCCCGGACATTTTGATAAAATTTACAACAGGCATTGTAATCTAAAATGAAGAAAATGGTTCAGAAAATAGTTTTCTATTTTATAGAGGATACTTACCACTTCTACTCAAATGTTTTTAATAATAATTATAAAGAAATTCTGCAAATTAAAAAAAAAAAAACATGACATATGGAAAAATTGGCAAGTGACAATTGACATAAACAGTTCTTGTTTTTTTTTAGCAAATTACTTTATTACGTTGTTTTAACATAACAGGCAGGTTAACTAGGTAAATAACAAATAGAAGTTTTGCGAGGTTTTGATTTCCCTCAAAAACTTCTCATGAACGTTGCATTTACGTTGTATAGTAATGTTATTAAGTTCCCTTAATGCAACATCGCCGAAAGTCTTGGCAACGTTATGTGCTAGCTGGGCATTCTTAAGCTTAACTACCAATGTTTGGAAAAAAATAAAGAAATTTCGTTGGCGTGGATAAAATCTTATGTAGGTATTAGTAACAATGAGAAAGTGGATATACTAGCAAAAAAGGCTACTGTTTCGGGAACTAATAAAAATATTCAAACGCCAAAATCAGATTTTATTCCTAAATCTAAATTATCAATGTTTTAAACTTGGCAAGATGCATATTCTAAAGAAGAAAAAGGGAAGAAATACAAAAACATTCAACCTAATATTCCAAAGTGTCCCTGGTTCAAAAACAAAATAAATAGGTCTTTTATCCGAGTTATTTTTCGTATGAGCAGTAATCCTGTCTACAAGGAAAAATTTGGTCTATCAGTTAATTATAAAAATTTGTTTAATTTGTGATGAAATTGCTGATCATATATTTTTAGAGTGTGTTCTAAATTCGCTAGATACTGACGCAATGTACTTAGAATTAGTTAATATTGGTATACCTCTACCAATAAACATTGATGTTCTGCTTTCATTAAACGATGTTAAAGTTTATAAAATATTATATGAATTTGTTAAAAATACTAATACAAGATTATAAGTACCTGAGCTACCCTAAAAATATTGTAAACCTGAAACGAAAAAATAAAATAAATAATGAAACAAAAAAAGACAAAAAGGAAAAAAACAAAAAATAATACAGAACAAAAAAAAAATAAAAACAAAAATAATACAAAAAATAAATAAAAAACAAACAAAAATAGATATTTTTTATAATTAATTACAGACTCAGGTACGTTGATAGCTGTAAGTTAAAATATAATAATAATAATGTAATCATGTAACAATAGTACATTACATTAATTAATGTAATGAATCATTTTTGAAGCAAACAAAAAAAACTTAAAATCAACAATTTTGACAACCCGATGACGAACAATATACACACAATTAAACTTATATGGAATCACCCAGTAATTTTGAGAAATAGAATTTAATTTGAAAAAAATTTATTACTCTTTTAAAACATCCAGAATGTGCGAAGCCGTTAACAATATTAATACTGATCTAGCCACAATTGTGTCACTAT